ATTTCTGGCATTTATTTTATTTTGCACCTGTAACTGTCCTGACTTTCTAAGGCTTCTTTCACGTTTTCACTCTTTTTCTTCTTTTGTATGGATTAGTTTCCCCCACCCCTCTACCCTCTCCATCTGGGGGGAAGTCACTTAAGTAAAGTCTTTTCTGTCAGTGGTCACTTTGATATTTTAACACATAAAGTCTAAATTCCGTAGCTTTGCCTCTTCTGGCACAACACAGTGACCGACAGGAAGCTCGAATTCCCCTGGATCCATGTGAAGCATACGTCTGCTATTTTTGTCCATTTGTTCTGTTCTGTTAATCCCACAAATTAGATAGCCTTGATGTTGACTTTACAGACAACTGTTGCTTTCGTTTACCTAAATGTTTACATTTTAATGGAGTCACAACCATCAATATTTCCTCGGCCTGTTCTTATGTGAATGAAACAAGCCCCCCTGTCCTGCATCTCTGGTCTTCCCTTCACAATCACTGTCCTCCTGAAGGGCGAAGCCTGTTGGTCACGGCTGTTTGTCTGAAAATGCTCGGATTTAGGTCCTTGGAAGATGCTCTTAAGACAGAAGCCTGGCTTGACAATTATTTCATCGCGCCATCACCTTCTGGCTTCCAGGGCGGCTGGTGAGACGCCCCTGCACCTTCTTTCTTGCTTCCTTTTCTGACTACTTTGGAGATTTACTTTTGGTCTTGATGTTACGTGGTTTTACCTTGATATGTATAAAGTAGATTTCTTTTTATTTATCTTGTTTGGGATTTGTTGGGATTCCTGAATGTGAGGATTGGCTTCTTTTGTTAATTCTGAGAAATTCTCAGTGCCTATCTTGTAGAATCTTCCCTCACTCCTTGTGATGACCTCTTCTTGGGACTTCGATGGGATGAAAATGCAGATTCTGCCTCTTAAGAGCGGCAGGCTGGGAGGAGGAAGCCAGGCACCCAATGGCTCAGCGGGAGAGTGACCGGGTTCACCTGGGGTGGGGGCAGGGAGACAGGGAAGACCTAAGGCAAGCTGGCCTCCTGCTTTTCCCACCCCGGGAGGTCGGGGTCCAGTGTGTGGGTACCTCCCCACCACTCCGAGCTGCAGGATCTTGAGGAAAGATCAGGGCCAAGGTGAGGCACAGCAGCCGGGCGGCCTGAAAGTGCTGCCTACTCTCCCCACCGTTTCCACTGCGAGGTGTCAGGAGCGGCCTCTGCGCCATCCCCACGGGGATCTAGAGGAGGTGACTGGGGTCATCAGGGGAGTTCCTGCACTCACAGTGACATGTGAGTGGACAGCTAGGAAACATCTTCCACTCAGGACTTAATGTGCATCTTCCCTCTTTTACTTCTGTTCCGACTCCCGTGTTACTGTCTCCCGCTACTTACTCTGAAGAACACGCTTCCTGGAACCATGGGTGATGTGCACCGCCGCTGGAAGCCAGTGGCTCTTTAGCTCGGGCAGTGAGCTTTTGCGGCGACCACTTCCTTGTGTGAAACCGGGTGGTTGTCCTGACTGCTAGCCTGCAGTCAGTGCCAGGTGCAGGCGAAGGGGCGGAGGTGGCAAACCCTTTGTTGTCACCTCTAACAAACGGCTTAGTTTCTGCTTGCTTCCGGTGCCCCTTAAATGAGGGTGTGTTATGGAGGGAGTGACTTGGATGCTCTGAAGACCAGCAAAGAAGAATCACACGTGGGGGTCGGCTTGAAGCTGACTCATCCCTCCCATGTGATCACATCGAGCAAGTGAAGAGACACAGGTACTGGGCAGGCAGGAGGACGGGGCGGTTCCCACGTCCAAGTCCCTGCTGCCTCCCCTGCCACGTCTGAAGCCACGAGGACCTGGGCGGGCTGCGTGGAGGTCAGGGGCAGCCGCCCAGGGGCTGCGGTGGTCAGGCCATGGCTGGGGCCATCCTCCCCACACCCAGTGTCCTGGTGCCTCTCCTGGGCAAGTCCAGGAGGATTCGGGCAAAACAACTGAGTGGCAGCGCAACCCTGCAGGGAAACTGGTGAGTCTCCAAGGAGGGTGAACCAGAATGTGCTCATCAACACCGGGCACAGAAAAAACACGTACAGTTTAGTTCTAGATAAAGTAACACTCAGCTCTAAGGAACATGTTTTCTCAGTCTGTGATTCGGGTCACAGGCTGCTGGAAGATCCTGCGCTGTGTGTCAGCCACCATGGCTCAAGCATTTAAACTGCATTCAGTTATGTTATAAAATAAAGTAGTGTTTCCTACCATTATCATATCTGAGTTCTAAGAAACAAAGCCCTTAAAGTCCCTACTGAATACTAAGCTCAGATAAAAGTTGCCTTCCTGGCCATAATCACCGACGTCACCACACAGTTGCTTTATTTTTGTTTTGGACGGAGTATCAACACGATTGTCCAGTCTTCAGTATCACGAGCCTGCAAGCCACGCACTTCTCAGACTTCCCACTCCTGAGTCCCGGCAGCTGCCCGGCCCCTGAGGCCAGTCTACACAGCGGAGGGTCCCGCACAGAGAGCTGTTTCCTAAGAAGAGCTGAGTATCTCAGGTCTCTACCAAATGTAATGAGGCAATTATGCAATAGTTAGTTATAAGTCAGTTTAACCAATCTGAGAAAAAAACCTGCGAAACAATCCACTTTGAAGAGATTCTGAGAAAATCACTTGGAAAGACACAACAACCAATTAATATAAAAACCAATCAGCCAGACTGAAGTGCGCCCGCCCACAACCCTGGGAACTTCAAGCCAGAAACACTTCTCTGTCAGCTCAGAGGCTGCAGGAAACCTCAGGCCTTTGTTGGTGGGTCTGTGGCTCCTGCCTCAACCTCAGAGCTGTTCTCTGGGGCCAACTGCCCTTTACTAGGGGCCAGACCCCTGTGTTCCTGAGTTCCTGAGCTTTCAAAAAGCCAACGGGCCAGGTTTTCCAATCAGCTCTTGCACTTCTAGTGGCACAAGACCATCTGGCCCCATGTTAAATGAAGACTGTGCCATCCCAGGAATTAGGCCTGTGACCCACTTGGCTTCCGTTCTGCTTGCCCATCACCCCCACTCAGGGCTGTCCGTCTGTGAGGGGCCGTGGAGCCTACCATCACAGTGCGCGACCCACCCCCTCGAGCGCTTACACTCTGCATGGCATTCCTGCGCTGGGGACGGGCCACCCCTTCTCCCAGGCTCTAACACCTGCATCCCCTCGGTCACAGTTGGCAGTCGCCCAGATGATGATGGACGGGGGTGTCACCCACCTGGAGCTACAGGGTCTGCCCCTGCCTGCTGTGGGGGGTCTTGCAAACCGACCTCCACTGCTCCCTCATTTTCTTGGGCAATGCTGTCAACCTCCTTACGGTGGAAGAATTTTAACTTTTTTTTAAAGCTGCCGATGGTTCTTTTGAGGAGGCTGAGTGGGTTCACACCTTCACCACCTTCCCCACTCCTGGGATCTCTGAGAAACTCACAGCAGAATGAAGAACATCCCCGATATCATGTAATGGTATGTGGGGGTCACTAGGAGAGGCCAGGCTTTGACACGTGTCCTCAAGGGGGAGGTTGAGGTGGTTATGCGCTCAGGTGAGCAGGCGGGGGACGGGAGTGAGCAGGTGGGCAGAACTGGTGTCACCCCACCAACCAGCTGAATGCAGACAGCTGTGTCCCTGCCCGGCTTCCATCCAACAAGGAGCTAGGGCCCTCGCAGCACGTCCTGGGCAGGAGGAGAAGGACAGCTTCAGGAGTGGGGGCCACAGGCAGATATGGGACAGGTGACTTAGTGCTAAGGCAGTTACCACCTAAACCCAGGAACCACTGAAAATGGCCTCGGGGTCGTGCGTGGAGCGGGGAGAGCCTCCTGCTCAGCAGACTGCCCTTGAGGATTTTTTCAAGAAAAGGAAACCTTGCCAGGATCTCTTCTCTGCTCTGAGGAGAGTTCCCTGCCATGGTAGTGAACTGAATCCCCACGCCCCCCACACTCTTATTTAGCCTCGCTTCATTTTTAAAAGCCCTTGCCTGCTCTGCCCGCATGTCTCGCTGCCACGTCCGCGCCCGCCCAGTTCAAACGCGTAGGGGTTTGCAGAAGAGGCGAGCACCCGTCAGCCTGGCGGCACCTCCCAGATACGAGCCTCAGATCACAGAGAACACAGGCCGGAAACACTTTCTCGGGAGAGGCCGCGAAGCTCGGTGATTTTCACAACGATTTAGAGAAGAAAAAGGCTTCTCACAATGAACTCTGGGTTTGCTGCGGCTGCTGATGCCCAGCTTGGCCTTCTTGCCCTGGCCTGGTCCCCCTTCCCTCCCTTCCCGACCAGCTCCTGCAGGCCTCCTGGCCCCGTGCCAGGCGTGCGTCTAGATCCCTGTGGAGGAACGACCTTGGACCACAGCTGCTGCCCTGTAGCCGCTGCACATCGTCCCCTCGGTCCCTGGGCCCCTGCACAGTGCATTTTCGGGCGTCCCCATCCTCAACTCTGATACGGTCCTCAGACCGTGACGCACTCAGGGACGGCTGAGCAGGTCCCACGGCGGAGCACGGCTTCAACGCTACAGTGAAAACCAAGGCCCCTCCTGCGGGCTTTTGTTCTCGGGGTGGGGGCGTGGGGGTGCTGAAAGTGTCGTGTGGCTCCGGAAAGTGTAGCTTTACCGGATGTCCAAACACCCTCTCCAGCATCTCTTAGAGCACCTGTCTGATAGCGCGTCGCCTGACTTCTCAGGTGGGCGTAGGGAATCCTGCGGTCCCTGCCCGCTGCGGCGGGTGCCATGGGCAAAGCAGCCTTGTGGCCACCGCCGAAGGCCTTGTGTGCGGAGGAAAGCCCCCGAGTGCAGCAACAGTGGGAACAATGTGACATCAGGCCAAGTCCTCCACACAAGTAGAATTAGTGCTAAGAGGTTAAAGGTTATTCAAGGTCATATGGATACGACACAGGGCGGGAACATTGAGAGAACGGTATTAATATTATTGTGTAATATTAATATTAGTAGCAAGTAACAGAGGCATGCAGGGGGTAACAGAGATGAGAGGAGAAGGCCAGGGAGGCAGAGTAGAGACTCACATCTGGGTGGGGGATGGCGTACTGTCCCTGGATCGTGTAGGCCTAGAAAGAGAGAGACACTGTCAGCTCGGGAAGCGGCCAGCCACACTTGTGCCCACCAGCGGCTCTCCCCTGGGAACAGGGGCTTTCTCAGGGCTGGGACTTCTCGTGAACAGGCCCAAGGTCCCGTGGTCAGAGCTTCCTCCCAGAGCGCGTCCCCACCTGCCCCCAGTAGCTTAGGGCACCGGGAGGTGCAGACTGGGGGAGTCCTGGCTCCAGGCCTCACCAGTGCCCGCGGGTGGCTGGGGCTACAACCAGACGCATAAGCCAGGGGAGCTACAGCCCATTCGCTGGACAGCTGCGGGCTCGGACACTGGCCAGTCAGCGGGGAGGGCGAGGAGGCTCCCCACTCCCCCGGGGGCTCTTAAAAGAAAACCCCTGCAAAGGATCCCACCCTGTTATAGACTCACTAATTGTTAACCTTTTCAAATTTCATCAGCTTTCAGAGTCAACACTTTTACAAAGTATTTATCCCCAAACCCAACAAAGGACCTTTAAAAGGTGACTCAAGACCAATTTTGTGAAAGCAGATGAAGAAATGCGCCCAAATCAGTCACAAGAGGGACCGACTTGTCTTGCAGCCTCAGAGGGCCAGGCAGCTATTCTCATGGGGGGCTGCACGCGCACGGCACCGCTCTCGGGGGGCCAGTGTGGGTCCCTGAGGCTTCACCTTCAAGACAGTGACTCAGACCAGCCACAGCTCGAGTGTGGGCCCCGTGCCTCCTCCCCCCACCCGCCCCCTCCTGCCTCAACAGTCCACCAGCTACGATGCTCCCAGAAACTCACGGCCAAAACCAAACGAACCACAAGGTGTCAAGGGAGAGTAAAGACCAAAGACATGCTGTCGGGCCTCACGTGCTGTGATGTGGAACGTGCCACAACCAGCCCTGGACAGCCACATTTGAGGCCCCAGCTTGGGTGGCACAGGTGTGGAGGGACATGGCTTCTGGCACCTGGCCATGTGGGTTCCCGTGCCACAACCTGAGTGGACACGTGATGCCACCTGTGTCTGCACGTGTGCACCCAAGAGGGAAACCCCAGGTCAGTCTGAGTGTCGCTTCCGTGGACTTCACACTGAGGGGTGGTGTCCAAGGTTCTGGCAAACCACATCTTTTGAATCTGCCAAGAGTTGTTGTCATAAACAACCCAACCTGGGAGTTAAAGGTCAGCCAGGCACTGGACGGGGACCACCGGAGGCGAGGCCCCAGTCTGGGTCAGGGTCCGCCAATGGCGTTCCATGGAGAAGTAAAGGGATCTTATCAGATGCAGCAAGTGTCCGAGTGGGCGCACCCCCCCACCCCGTACTTCTGTACACAGAGCTGCGAGGCCTCGTCTTTAGGTTTTGTGGCGATGCCACCAGGCAGGTCTGTGAAGGTCAGGGCCTGTTGCCCTCACGGCCCCGCATGTCCGAGTGAATTGCGCACACTTCCTGACAGTGCAATTCTTCATCCCAGACGTTTCTGACTTATCTTTTACTCACGTAGGTAATTCTTAATCCTACTTGTGTGTGGGCAGTTTACCAGGTTCTCTGGATGGCAGTAATAGCTAGACAGATGAAGGTTCCATCTGGATGAAACCCACACCCTCTGTGAGCTGCCTGAAAGGCAGGGCTGGTGCTCCTGGGTGGGCCCCCACAGCGAGGGGCGCCTCTGGAGGTCAGTCAGGGAGAGGGGCGCAGGTCTCTCAGGTCTAGGTTCTGTGGCAGTGGGGTCGGATTCTGAGGGGCCCCCTTCTGCACTAAATCCCACTCACACCCCACTGCTCAGCGTGTGCTGGGGTTCTTCTGTCCCCACGCAACCAGGGAGAGCCACTGGTGAGACCTCGCTGTCCCCGGGGCACAGGTGCAGATGACGGCCCTGATGGCCGGGGCTTGCTGCGCGGGGCCTGTGGGGCCTCCCTTTTGAATAAAGACCTGCGCTCTCCCACATGGTGCTGCTGCGGGTTTGTCCACGTGTCAGGGGAAAGGACACAGTGCTCTGCACAGGGCCCCACTGTGTCTGTTCCCCTGCCTCCTCTGGCCTTGCCTTCTGACCTGTAAAATGGGGGCGTGCCCACATCTTGGGGCTGCAACAGGAGGGAGCAGGGACATGAAGGGTCCAGACAGAGGGCAGGGCTGCTGGGAGGCTGCAGAGGTGAGGAGGCTGGGAGGGAGGCCCACAGCAGATGCCTGAGGAGGCCGGGCACTGTGGACAGCGGCCTGCCCTGAACCACGCAGGCCCCGTGGGGGGTCCCTCTCTGTGGGAAGAGGCCCACAAGCTGCTCTTGGAAATGCAGGCCCCAGCCTCTCATCTAACGTGTGAAGTCAACCTGCAGGATCTGATAAGATTCCTTAACATGTGGATAAATCTTTATTTGCTGCTTTGTTAATGATAAAATCATGATCACTCTCGCCTGACCTGGGTCACCTCTGGGAATTGCCCGTCTTCACTCTCCCTCGAACAAGGACACACGTCACCGCCAACTGGACGCAGAGCTCCTCCAGGCACCATTGGCTGGGCATCTTCCATGGCCCTCTACCCACACCGTGGTGCCACTGAGGGGTGTGGCACAGGTGCCCGATGGCAGCAGGTGGGCCCTTGTGGGGCAGTGGGTACAGCCCCTCTCCTGGGCTCTCTCTAGGCCCTACTAATGAACTGCCGGCCTCAGACACAAATTTCTCTGCAACCCCTGGCCTCCCAGGCACCTTGCCGGCAGGGGAGAAAGGAGGTCAGTGGCTCTGGCCATAGCCACAGGTGTGCAAAGCAGGTGTTCCTGACCTAGCTGATGTGGGGCCTGGCAGAATTTGAGGGCCATCGCTGTGACCGGAAAGGCTCTTGCCTAGCTGGGCACCTTTCCCTTCCCTTGCTCCCAGAAACTCCTCTGTGGAAAGTCAGGAATGTGCATTTCAGGGGAAGCGGGACCCTGTTCCTGCAGCTCCACCTGCTTCAACTTGGAGCCACAGGGTCACCTGTAACGCTCCTGGCCCTTCTACTAGGGCTTCTTAAGGACACTCAGGAGCTAGATTGGGGTGAACGTTGCACAGGCAGAACCAGGGTCCTTCTTTGCCAGGTCAGGGAGAAGACGCTTCCAGGGCCCAGTGTCTATGGGACGTCTGCGTGGCCCTGTCTGTGTGCGCGACCCTGTGCCCGGCAGCGGGCTGGGAGAGCTTTGCGTCCAGCGTGGGTGGGGTGGGAGACGTGCACGTGACAGGGGAGAAAACCTGAGTGCACTAACGGGCAGCGGCGGGGGCTGCAGTAAGAGGCTGAGGTTGGCAGTGGAGGCCGCGAGCGGGTCGGCTCTTACCTGACCACCTGCAAAAATGACAGGGGTGGAGGCGGGCTTTGGGCGGTAGGGGATGGTGGCACCTTTCGGTGGGGACTAGGAAAAGGGACAGGAGAGGGAGAGAGAGCATTAGAGCGGCTTCCCAGTGCCAGGACCTGCTGACGGGGGCCTCCTTCCCGAGCCCACCCCTGCTGCACCACCCGCCCCGCCCTGTCCCCCAGGCTGCAGCAGCCCCAGAGGGTGGGGACACCCTGCAGCAGGAGGGCAGCCTGACGGGGACCCTCCACAGGGCCACCTCTCTCCTCCGTGTAGCCACTGCCCTAAATATGCCCCCACCTGAAGCCACAACCCCCACGGAATGTGGGGCGGGGGGCAGGGGCTCCATGGCAGTGTGCACCATCAGTTCTTGACGAGCAAGAACGGAGGCCGAGGCCCTGCCCATGTGCAGATGGACAGGTGGCTGCCTGTGGACCAGGGTGCTGTCGTTCCACACTTGGGTCAGCCTGGCTGCTGTCCTCTGAGAAAATCTCCCTCCCTCTCTCCCATGTTCAGGGGAAAAGCCAGGCTTTATGGGAGGCTTGGCCACGGGGGCTCGTGCCCAGTGCCCCAAAGGCTTCGCAGGGCCAGGCTTGTGATGCTCAGTAGGCATCATCACAGGACAGCTAGAAACATCCAATTTCACTATTCATAAAAAGAAGCAACTTTTTAAAAAAGCTTAGAGTCCAAATTCAGTATTTTATAGTCGTGATGAGCTTTGTTATAATTTCCTTTGCTTATTCTGTGCCCCAAAGTATAGGATTTTTATCTTGGGGTGAATGATATTCTCCAGTACCAGAAGTCTGCCCGATTCTGATTGAGTCGACTGAACTCCTTGGTCAGAGGCAATCAGGGTCCGCCCTTGTCCGGCCACGCGGCAGTCTTCCCTGGGAGCAGAAGCCACAGGGCTGGCCTGGGTCAGCAACACCACCAGCCAGAGGCAGAGGGTGGGGGCCAGGACAGCCTGTCCCTGCTGGGAGGTCTTGAGACCATGGTGCCCTCAGGCCAAGCCCACACCCTGGGCTATTGGGTGTGACCTCATAGTGCTCCCCCCCCCCCCCGAGAGACACAAAGCAAAGTGGGGCAGGCTCAGCACACCAGGTGGCAGCTTCAACTCTGCAGTCCAAGCCATGCTGTGTGATCATGGGCACACTGTGTGACCCTGACTCCACTACATGACCTTGAGCACATGGTTTGACCTTGACATGCTGCCTGACTTTAGGTGTGCTGTGTGACCTTGGGAATACCGTGCAGACTTGCTATAAAGCAGGAAGGGCTGCTGAGGGGCCTGCGAGCTGACCCCATCTGGGGTGATGCTGGGCCCCCAGGGTAGGTTGGTCTTCAGTGTTCCTGCTATTTACGACCAGTTGCCTCCAGAATCATCTCTGTGCAGCCGGGGGTCACTGTGGCCTCAGAGGACACTCGGTTCATGGTAGCAGAACCATGAGTACACCAAGCTTGGGGGAGTGAGGTTCTCACTGCACCAGCAGAGAACTCAGTCCAGCTATGCCCCGTCCCTGAGCCGGGCACCTCACTCTGTGCCCTCTGGCCCCACGGACCGCAGCGCCCACCATCCCAGTACCATGAGCTTGTGATTCCGGCGCTCACCGATGTCCTCTGACAGGAGAGGTCCTGTGAGCACGGCACCCCTGGTGCCCCCTGGGGTACAGTGGGCACTGCCGGGCAGCCTTTGCCGCGACACCCGTGCTCTCCATGGGGCCCCACTGACCTGCCCCCACCGGAGGACAGCCCTCGCAGAGGCCATTTCAAGGGTGTGGGGCTAAGTGCTGTATGACCGAGCTGTAGGACCTTGGCCAGAGCTAAGTCTGGAAGTCCTTTAATATTTGCTCTACTTGTCCAGCTATTCTTCACTTAAAAATGGGCCCAACCATTTCTAGGTGCAGTGGCTCCTCGTCCCCTGGGGAGACAGCAGCTCTCCGACCTCTGAGAGCTTCGTGGCCCCGGCAAGAGTAAGGCATCGCCTCGGCCCTGGGTGGCCCTGGGTCTGCCGTTCACAGTCGCCATGAGCGCTTGCTTCACAGCTGAGTTGCACATGAGCCTCCAGCTGGTGGGAACACAGCCCTGGGGCACCAGCACCCACAGCTAGTGGGGTCCAGCCTGTTTCTATGGGCCACGTCTGACCATGAATGTGGCGCCAGCAACGCTGCTTGGGAGGAGTCCTGAGGAGACCGAGAGTCTTATTCTAACCCTTGTTTGTGGACATGGGAGGCTGTGTCCCTCCTGGAACTGTTCATGTGACCTTGCACTCTGACGCGGCCGCTGCCGCTCAAGATGCGAGTGCTTTCTTGCCACCTCGGGCATCCGCCAGTGCAAGGGAGTGCACAGCCCTGTTCACCGCATGCCCACATGGCGCTGCCGGGGTCCCAGCGGCAGGGGCCCGAAGGGAACACAGACCGGCACCAACTGTCACCATGACCAGTGGCTGGGGACCATCAGGACACCAATATTTAGAAAAATAGTTTTGATTTCACAAAACAGTATACTTTGGGAAAATAAATCTATGTAATTTTTTTAAAGAGCTGGATGTGGGTTTGAACACCAAACAAAGGACAAAAGAGGGGGGAGCCCACAGACACCGGCCGAGGCACAGGGCCTCCCTCACGGCAGCTGCTGGAGCCTTCATCGGAGGCTGAAGTACTTCACTGTAGCTTGAAGACCAGCAACTGTGGGAGCTTTCGTGATTCCTGCTGCATTTGGGGCATTAGCTGAAATTTAAATCTCAGGTTTTTTTCTCAAAAAAATTTCAAGAGAGGCTTTTGTCTTGCTCAGCTGTATCTTCTTTGCTTCTGCTTTGGTTTTAACCATTTTGTTTATTCCTGTCTTTACAATTTGGGCATTTTCGTGTGCTTTTCCTCCTTTGGTGCCTTGGTGGGGCTCTGATGCCTGTAGGCGTGGTGAGCGCGGGCCTCCTGCCTCCCCTTGCCCCATGGGCCCAGGGCAGCAGGGTGCTGTCCACAGCAGGCAGCGTGTCCAGTGCAGACTTGCACCTAGGGTAAGGCCTGACCCTTTACTGGACGCCCCTCCCATTGCAGACTAATGACGTCTCATTCGATTGCCTCCTGACACATCCCTTTCCCCGGCCCCCCAGTCGAGATGATGGACATGCCTGAGGGCAGGCACCTGCACACCCAGCGCGGCTCTCACTTAGGTCGCCTTGGGCCTGGGTGCGGTCTTGGGTCACGCTCTTGACCCCTGGCCCCCACATGGCCCTGACCGTGTGAATTCTCAGGGCCCCAGCCACATGCCACAGCCGACACGAAGAAGCCAAGGCTGAAGAAGCCACGGGTGGTGTGGCATGAGGGGTGGGCTGGCAGTGAGCCCTGGATGCCCAGACTGTACCTCCAGCATGACCACACAGATCTGCTTGACGCACTGGATGATGGCGTCAGGGGTCCCCGAGATGGTCACTGCCCGCTCTGTGGAGTTGGGCAGCATGTCCCCGGCCACCTGGACCTGGGCACCTGTGGACTGTAGAAACAAGACATTGGAAGGGGAACGGCAGGGGAGGGGGCTGGTGGCGGCAGCCTGCGCTGAAGCAGAGCTCCTGGGTGCTGGGGAGGGCATCATGTCGAGGGCATAGTGCACGGACACCCGCCCCAAGGGCACCATGCCTGCCTGGCACCTCAGCCCTCTGCTCGTTCCCTGGGGCCCCGTGGCGGGGCTGTGCGCCTCAGCCCGCCGCTGCCCAGCACGGCCTGGCGCAGGGGCAGTGACGCTGGAGAAGAGGCGTCTTAACCTGCAAGTGGCATTTGCAGAGATGGAGACAGAACTGGAGTCACTTTTTTCAAATACTTTATCTCCCCTGTGGAGTTGTAGGTCACAGAGGAAGATGGATTCTAGAGGGGCCTAAGCTCTGTGGCTGTCTTTCTGTGACAGAATCACGACAGGGGGGCCTCTCTTCTGGGAGAGGGAAGGATTCAGGCTTTCTTTGAATAAAGGAACACGAACATAAAGTCTGTATGTCACCAGCCCTACTGGTCTGCTCAGGCCTGGCGGGCCCTGGAGGCACCTACCTGGGGGCAGAGACCATAGCCTAGAGCCCACATGACTGGGTGGCAGGGTGTGGCCTCCCCTGCCCCATCATGGGGGGGCACTGCCTGTCCCTGGTTGGGTTGCACAGCTCCCCATGCAGGTGCCCAGCTCCTCTGCATGACACTGTGAGTGGTCTGTGCACATTCCAGGGGCTCCCAGAGCCCACCCCTTGCTTTCTGGATGGCTCTCCCCCTACTGTAAGCTCCACACTGGCAGGGTTTGCAGTCCTGGGCCTCCCCGGGGGCAGGGTGAGCTTCCCAGGGGTGGGCCTTACCCACCCAGTGGCGGGGCACCAGCAGCCAGAGAAGGTTCTGTTACCTCCCTGATCTCCTTGATCTTGGAGCCGCCTTTGCCGATCAGGGACCCACACTGGCTGGCGGGGACCACCAGCCTCAGCGTCACTGGGGGCTTGCTGGTGGCAGGGCTGTTGCTCATAGAGTTAATGATGTCCTGGGGAAGGAGAAAGACACACGTGTGGGCCTGCTGTGTATACACCAGTGAGTGCAAAGGCCAGGCTCGTGAGAAAGCAGCTGAATGTGCTCCAAGGACTGGCGGACCAGGGTCCCTGACCCCAGAGGCCCATGGTCAGTGGAGGCGGGGGTAGGACAAGCGTGGGAACGTGAGTGCTCTGAATGTGTCTCTAAATAACTTTTGGCAACTTCAACAATATTGGAAACGCATGAAAACCTTGATGTAAGTCACTGATAGAGCGCACAGACGTGCCCCAGACATGTGAGTGTGTGCGTGTTTCTATGAGCCAGCAGCAGAGCTCCCAGGTCCAGCCTGTAGCCAAGCTCCCATGCTGGGGCAGGAGCCATGGGGGACGGCTGGGGCTCATGCTCGAGGCTCATGCTCGGGCCTGTCCCCAGATGGCCAGCAGCCAGGGGAGCCCCTGGGCAGCAGAGGTGACGGGGAGAAGAGAGGTCCTTGCAGCCAAGCAGGGCATCCCTGGTGGGCCAGGCCGTACCCACGTCCAGACATAGTGGACATGGGGCCGGAGGACCAGTGGAGACTGTGTCCTCCCCCTGCACACAGGGTCTCTGGGGGTGCATCTTACCTCCTCGAACTTGTAGGCGATCATGGCAAAGGCCTTGAAGATGGCGTCCGTGGGGCCCGTGATGGTCACGATTCTTTCTGGGCAGTTTCCCTCAGAGATGTTGATCCTGGCACCACTCTGGAAGGAGGCGAGCACACCCGGGCCAGGGTTAGAGTCGCAGGCAGTACTGGGCTGGGTTCTCCAGGCCACGGGCAAGCCTCCACACTGCACGGTGAGGCCCCCTCCAGTGCCGTCCTTCACAGTGCGGACAGCTGCCACGCTGCACCCCCTGCAGCCCCCCACAACAGAGCCCCAGACATGGGGGTGTGCAGGTCAGAGGGAAGGGGCCTGCTGCCACTGGGAGGTGGCCGTGGGCACAGCAGGGGCTCCCACAGGACAGGACTTCTGGCCTCCCACCTCCCCACAAACAGGACACCACCGAGGGCCAGCCACCTCACCTCTTCACGCATCTTTTTCACAGTTTCTCCTTTCTGGAATAAAGATTCAGACAACAGGGTGAGGCATCACTCCGGGCTTCCGCCAGGTATGCGGAGGCTTTGGTGCGGCAGCACAGGGGGTGGGAGCACAGCCTTGTGCACCAGGTGCCCCAGGCCAGCGAGGAGCAGTCCTGGGGGGGGGGGGCGCGGGGACGAGAGCCTGACACGCCCACAGGCCCCTGAGCCCCACCACAAGCTGGCGAGGGGCCCTTCAGAGGAGGCGCCGGGTGCTGGCCCGCTCAGCTCCTGCTCTACGGTGGTGCTCATATTCCTCGTCTTCGTCACGGGCAAAGCAGGGCCAGGCCGGGGAGGCACACCCCAGGGCCCTGGTGGAAAGACCTGGACTTGGAGCACAGAGGTGCCTGCTGGACACCAGGAGGCCTGGACACGGTGGGACGCCAGCCACGGGTAGGTGGCACCCTGCCCCAGCCTCTGCCACAGGCTTTCAACTCCCAGATCCTTGCTCACTTTCCCCACGGCACGCTTTTATTTTGGAGGGAGATATGAGAGACTCACCACCACCCACTGGCCAGGGGCGGAGACTGCTCTGGAGAATGTCAGTGACTCATGCTCACTGGGCCCTCACACCCAGGAAGAAGGACAGGCCACAGGGCAGTGGGGCAGTGGGGGCGGGGCTGGCCGGTGACCAGCCGGGGCCTTGCCAGGCGGGGCCGTGGGATTCCACCGGAATCCTTGGTGCGTGGCGTGCACCACGGTGTGGCTTGCCACCCAGCGCAGCCCTGGTGGCCCTGTCACCTTGTCAGGGACCCCAGCAGAGGCAGAGTTCACTCAGTAGTTACCTTCCCGATGATGCTTCCAACTTCCTGTAGGAAAGGAATCACAGAAAGATGTCATAGAGCAGAAGGAGAGACGGCCATGACAGACACTGAGAGACCCACGTGTGTTGGGAGCGAGGACAGGGGGTTAGGACAGTCAGGAGGGAGTGTGGTCAGGCCACTTGTACAAAACGCCCTGAGTCTGGGGGCTCCTGGGTGCCCGTCTGACCTCGGTTAGTCCCAGGCCCTGCCTCTGACAGACACACAGACGAGCAGAATCAGAGTGGCCGGCTCCCTATTAAGTTAGGAGGCACCACTTAAGGCCTCAAGAAACGCTGCAAGAAACAGATAAAACATAAAATCTCCCCCAATTTTGTGATGTAAAGGTAATTAAGCACTGCTACCGCTTTTTCACTTTTTAGAAAGTACACTATGCAAAGACACCCTTGGACACACCGCCCCAGTTCTGAAGCCTGGAGCTCATGACGGTTCAGACACACGCTCCTGGCCAGGCCTGTTCCTCATGGCACCTCCCGCCTGGGTCAGGCCCACACAGCACTACGAGCCAGCCAGCTTCTAGCCCCGGGAATGACCTTTCAAAGTCAAACTCATTTCCCTTATTACAGGGAAGTCCTCAGCAACTACAACAGTGAGGGTGAAGGTCCTAAATCCTGCTGGGCTGTGGGAGGGTGTGTGCCACAGGGGCAGCTGAGGCAGCAAAGGGCAGCTGAGCCCTCTGGCAGCCGTGGCACCGCTCCTCCTGGGCGGAGTTGGTGCCTGAGGCTGCAGTGGCCCCTGGACGTGGGGGCCCTCTGTGGTGCACTCCCAGCTTCTGACAACCTTGAGCAAATGCCACCCACACGTGGGAGAAGCAAAGCTGGTCACCGTCTCTCCATTGCAGAAAGGGATCTCTGGGTGTGAGCCCTGCACCCCCCCGCCCCCCCAGGGAGGGCGCCTCGCCTGGAGATCTGGGAGGAGCAGCACCACCAGCCCCGCGGCAAAGGAGACCACAAGGACACCAGACACAGCCCGATAGAGGTGTGAACCCTGTGCTGTTGGGCTGGAATTGGGGGGTAGGAACTCACGGGGTCCACTATAAACATGGAAGTAAATTTTATGCATATGTGCGTATATACACACTGCGATCGTACATACACACGCATGTTCAATAAACACATATGTGTAGCTATCCCCCCCCCCCCACAAGAGTCAGGGCTCTTTGGAGAAATGGCTGATTCCAGGACAACGGCAGGGAAAGCACAAGGGAGTCATGAGAGTGTTTTGTGCCAGACAGCGAGCTAGCACTGGGTGAATGACAGCCCACGTCATGAGGACACAGGAGCCAGCTCGGGGGGGCTCCTGGTGGCTGAGTCAGGGTCAATACGAGCATCAAAATGAGTCACGACAGCAACCGAGTCCATGAGGACATGCACGGATGAGCAGACGGCCGGCCGCTGAGGGGCTCTCGCAGGGTCCGTGTGCCCCGAGCAGCACCCAACAGCAGCTCTGGGTGAAGGCCCAAGGGCTCAGTAACGGGAGGCCCTGAGATCTGCGCCCCTGACGGGAGAGCTCCTGTGACTCCCACCAACAGCGAGGAAACCTCAGAAAAGCCGCCTTGAGGAAGGGCAGGCACTTTCAGAGGTGAAACGCAAAGGAAGAGCAGGGAGACTCCTCCAGGTTGGAGACCACCAGAGATGCTCTGGGATGTGGAGGCCTGACCACTCCCCCCGCCACCGCGTGTCCTGTGGTGAAGGGCAGGCTGGGATGACTGATGACCTGAACGGGGCCCGAGGCGAGGGGCTGGGACGTACTGGTGTTGGTATCCTGATGTGGATGGGGCACTGCGCCCTTGTTTGTAGGAAACACACACTAATGTGTTCAGTGATGGGCACCAGGTTGCAATAAGTCTCAAAGGGTTCCAGGAGAAATGTAATTTGGAGTGGGCTGCAATGCTTTGTCAGCTTGCGACAGCTCAGGGTTTACAAAGCAGACGCCGGTGGTGGGCACGCCCTCCCTTGCCTCCCAGCTGGTCTGACACAGTGGCCTTGGGCTCCATACCTTTCCATGCATCAGCAGACGGATTGTCAGGGTCACGTTCAGGCCACCTTCTGAGACCTTTGACTCCATCTTTCTCCCAAAATGTGGCTGGGAGTAGTGGCCTAAGGTGCCGAGGGTGCCGTGAGGAAGGACAGATGGGGACCAGATGGCGTCACCTGGAAAGGGAAGGCATAGCGGCTGCTAGCTGAGAACACTGTCAATGGCCAACACAGGTCGGGGTGTCCCGGCCTGCTAGGACCTTTGGCCTCTGGGGGGTGGGTAGGCGTGGGGAGGGTCCAGGTTCTCCTCCAGACTGGATCACAAGGGACAGGTCACCCAACCACAGTGTACAGGGTGGCCTTCGAGACAGGCACCAGTGAGGATTAGAAGTGAAGGTCAGGTGGGGCCAGGGCTCAGGGCGCAGCGAGGGGAGAGGGTAGGACCAGGAGAGATTCCAGAATAGACGGGAGAGGTCTGCAGAACCAGGTACTCAGACAAGCCCAGGCCCAGATGCGGGGGGCCCCATGGGCACACCAGACCTGACTGCAGGCCTGGGAAGGGATGCTTCACTCAGCAGGCAACACAGGTCATAGGGGGTGGGCTGTTTAGGTGGCCTTCCTGGGAATGCCAGCAGTCAGGGCAGCAAATGGGAGCTGAGGAGCCACCTGCCTGGGTGCGTGGGGATGCGTCACAGTGCAGGGAAGCTGCTGGGTGCCAGGGTCCACAAGGGTCAGAGAGGAGGGGAACGAGGGCAGGATGGGACATGGGGCATAAGTGGCCCCAAGGGAGTGGCCGGTCCTGGGGGGGTAGCCCGTGGGGCAGTGGTCACGGGTGCTGAGTGCTGCCGGGGGCACGGGGACGGAAGGAGGCCTGCCTGGGGGAGGTTCTGGATGACCCGGGGCCCAGGGCTTCCCCAGAGGGGCACCAGGCAGACCCCATGGAACAGAGAGTGCCACAGGCCCCCGCAGCCTCCCGGGGGCACACCTGAGAGGTGGGCGGGGTGCCTGGGCCATGAAGGAAGGGTGAGGCCCGGGGCCAACTCGGCTATAGCACTCCCCACGTACGACCCCATGCTTGGTCTAAGTCCCTCAGGAACAGTGCAACCTGGGCATGCCCCCGTCTGGGGGTCTGGACACCCATCCTCTGATGTGACCTGTGAGGATGGGAGCTCCGCCCACACACAGGAGAGACCACAAGTTAGAAAAGCAAGATTTTCCTTTAACCTTAGAGGTTTTGGGGGGGCAAAACTGTTTCTTTTTCCTCATCAAAATATTTCTGCTGAAAAATATGCTTCAAGGAAAATACAAAACTAAAGCACAGAAGAGCACATTCTCACTGTCTGCTGGTGGTGGAGGGCGCATGCACAGATGATAGCGGCTGACACATTTCTGCGTTAACACGCACATGTGACAACGTACCCACACGTGCCGTAACAACTCAAACTACTAGTCCGCATTATGGACTAGACAACGGTGTTTTTGAACAACAAGGACTCTGACATGAAGGTCTAAGACCTAGCAAAGGAAGTTTTAAAAAACCACCCTTACATATTAATGTGGTCTATCTCCACTGCCCAACATGGAGCCACTGGCCACTTGTGGCTGTTTATGTTTGAAACAAGAAACTCGCCGGCCGCACTTAGAATTGACCAAGCAGCCCCATGTGGCTGGCCTCGGGCACAGTGGTCCTGCCGGACAGCACAGGGCGTGTGGACACGGCAGCAGGTCTGGCTGGAAGAGGGCGCTCCGGACAGAGACCCTGGGCAGGAGAGGAGACATTCAAGCTCAAGGGATTGGCGTGGCACCAAATCCGCGGTGCCCCCTCCCACATAGACACCCTGCAGCAAGCGGAGGTACCAGCACCAGTGGAGCAGACCGGGCGCCAGGCACGCTCGGATGCCAGGCCTGCTGTGTGGGGGCGGCAGGGCCCTGCAGCTGTGGTTACGTAAATGTTTCCAGCCACAGCAGAGAAAGTGGGTCAGTGAGTGCCGGGGAGCTTCAGGGTCCAGGCTGTCGAATGCCATCAGTCACACAGGCCAGCAAGCTGCCACGGAGGCCGCTGCCTGCCTTCATCACGAGGCCCAGGGCGAGCAGCACAGTGCCCTCTGTAGACTGCTAGGGACAAGGAGTGGCCCTGGGTGGTGGTGAAGGTCACCTGAAACTCAGCACCCTTGACCTTGAAGAGCCCACCCTATGCCAGCCGCCAAGGGGCACCGGGCGAGTGGCTCCCCCAAGATCACGACCTCGGGTCGTCCTCTGTCGGTCCTGCTGGGCCCTGGGACAGTTGTTCATCAGGGGCGGGCCCTGAGAATGCCGGGCCTACTCCCACCTTGGAGCCACCCCTACAGCAGAGTCCAGCGGCAGCACTTGGGGTCACACTCACCCAAAACCAAGCTGATGGGAAATGGTCAGAAAAAATCTCTTTGCCAGTAAGGACCCCACCTTCTGTTCTCTGCAGTGTTGGGAAGTGAATATATTTATAATTCACCCAGCGGGAGGGAGAAGAGACACAGGCATGGTCCTCTGCAGGGCCTGGGAGGAAGCCTGCCCGTGTGGCCCTGTGTCAACACCGTCCACAGATGTGCCTCAGCTAGAATGCAGCCTGCGCCCGATTCCCACAGTCGCCACAGCCGCCACAAATCAGCCACAAATCAGCCACAGCCACCACAGCTGCCACAAATCAGCCACAGCCCCCACAGCCGCCACAGCCAGCCACAAATCAGTCACAGTGCCATGAGGGACCACAGCACTTCTGACCCAGCCAGCCCTCCCAAACGTCCATCCATCCATCTCTGCAGTCCTGCCTTCCAGCTACAGGCCCAAACCTGGGGGTGCAATAGCTCCTTCATTAGCAATGAAGTAATTCACCTTCATTAGCAAATCCCAACACATGGATGCAGAGTTAATTAATTCATCTTCTCTAGTTTCTTACTTCTTGCCTAATAAAGGTATTTTGTTCTATAAAATTCTTAACATGTGGCTTTAGCTGTATCCCACTAATTTTGATATTTGTGCTCTTTTTGATCATTTCAAAATACTACCAAATTTCTCTTTGATTTCTTTTTTGATTCATGGGGCATTGTGAAGTATGTTATTAAATTTTCAAATACTTAGATTTTTCTAGATGTCTTTCTCCTGTTGATTCTCTGATGGTTAGAAAACGTGGCTTGTGACACCTCAAGTACGTCCTATGTCCTGAGACTTGCTTGTGGGCCAGACTGTGGTCTGTCCTGGTAACGTGGGCTCCTGTGTTGGGGTGGAACCTTCTCGAAGCCTGGATGGTACCACTGCTGGTCGTCTGCGGTCTTGTCGGGTCCCGGGGGCGCTGGGGAGGGCCCTGCCTCCTGCACTTCAAGCTCTGTCAGCAGCATCGGACCATCACGCTGTTGCCTCCGCCTGATGGACCGACGGACTCCTTTGTCATCGTGAGACACTCCTCATGTCTGGCTTCGTTCTCAGCTCTGCAATTTCTTTGTCTGTTATTAATGTAGTGACCCTCCTTTCTTCTGATTGGTGTTAGTGTATCTCCTTCCATCTTTTATCTTGAACCTATTTGTGTCTATATTTAAACTGAGTTTCCTGTAGGCAGCGTATGGTTGAACCTTGCTTTTTTATCTCATTCGACAATCTCTGTCTTTTAATTGGGGTGTTTCCACCACTGACAGTGACATGGTGGAGTTTGGAGCTATCGTTCTACTGCTTGTTTTCTGCTTTACGATCTGTTCTTCGTTCCCGCTTCTATCGCTTTCTCCTCCACCATCTTTTGGATGAACTGCATCCCTTTTATGATTCCACTTTACTTCCTTTGTGCACTTACTAGTTATGACCCTCTGTTTTGTTATCTGAGGGTTGCCCTGCACACACCTTCAGCTCGTCACAGTGCAGTGTCAGTGACCTGCCACTTAGGGCAGTGTGGGAGCACCTGACATGGGTGCTAACTGTGCCTCTGTTTCCCCTCCTGGCCTCTGCACTGTTGCTGTGGCGTACTTTGGTTCTCCCAGCTTATAAACCAGCATTCTTATGTCTGACGTAAACAGTCAGTTATCTTCTAGAGGGACGTAGATGACAAGAAACATGTCTTTCTGCTTACCCACGTGACGCTCACACCACCGCGTGCGGGCGGCTTTCTGCCTGCTCTCGTTTTCCTTCTACCTGAAGAACTTCCCGAAATAATTTTTGTAGTGCAAGTCCGCTGGTGATGGAGCTCTGTTTCCATGTGTCGGAAAGGTCTGTTTCCCCTTCAGCGATGAACGGGTCTCACCTGGCACAGAACTCCAGGTCAGCAGTGAGCTTTTCGGGTCCCGGAGAGACCTGCCCCGGATCTCTCACCTGCACTGCTGCCCCCTGCCCCCTGCCCCCTCGCCCCTGCTGCTGCCCCCTGCCCCCTCGCCTCTGCTGCTGCCCCCTGACCCCTTGCCTCTGGTGCCCCCTGACCCCTCGCCCCTGCTGCTGCCCCCTGCCCCCTCGCCCCTGCTGCTGCCCCCTGCCCCCTCGCCTCTGCTGCTGCCCCCTGACCCCTTGCCTCTGGTGCCCCCTGACCCCTCGCCCCTGCTGCTGTCCCCTGGCCCCTCGCCCCTGCTGCTGTCCCGACCCCTCGCCTCTGCTGCTGCCCCCTGCCCCCTCGCCTCTGCTGCTGCCCCGACCCCTTGCCTGCTGCGTTCGTTCTCACTTCATTTCACCATCTGTAAGGACACCTTTTCAAGGCACATGTAAGGATTTTCTCTTATCACTGGCTTTGAACAACTTACTTAGCCTGTGCCTTGTTACAGTTTCCTCATGACTTTTTGTGCTCATTGAGCTTCTTGGATTTGTGGCCCTAGAGTTTTCATTGGGTTTGGAAAATCGTGGCCATTGTCTTTCGAATACACTTTCTGCCTTGCCCCTCCCCCACGCCCAGGGCCCCCAAAGGCATGTCTGTTCTCTGCCTGAAGTTGAGCGAGCTCACTGATGCTCCCTTCACTTTCTTCTGCCTTCTGCCTCTGCGTCTCATTTTGACAGGTTCTGTTTCCGTCCTGCAGTTTAAAATCTTCCGCACTGCAACTCCCATGCTCTGGCTAATCCCACCCAGGGCACTTTTCACCTCAGACTCGGCGTTTTTCACTCTAGAAACTCAATCTGGGTCTGGGTCCTGTCTTCCATGTCCCCATTTAACATGCTTGACCCTTTGCTTCTTGATC